ACAAAATAGCATTTATTTATTTGTAAGAAGAAGAAACTCACCTGCTTATTTCATAAACAAGTTAATTTTTACCCTTGATTTTCAAAGTGTTTTTCATAAAGAAAACAGTTGGGAATCCCGCTTTAGTCAAATTTGTAGATTACTGATGGGATAATAGCTAATCACATAACGCCCTAAAGTCTCCGTCCAGGGATAATATTTGAATTGGGCACGCGATTCCGTTCGAGGCGTCGTTATTGTAAATACAAATGGCGGTTAAGAAACGTTTGTAGTCAAATGTTGTTAGTTTAATTTCTTGTTACTTGCTATGATATTTGAAGTTGATATTATTAGATTAAAACTATTATGCTCATAGATTTTTTTGAAATGGTTATAAAGACAGGGACTGAACCTAATACGGAGTCATACAGGGCTTTGCCTCGCCCAATACGGATTTCAATTTCCTACCCTGTATGACTCCTATTTGGTCCCTGACTGACTGTAGCTTATAGTATTTGCCAATCAAAGGATAGTTTGCCATTATTTGAAAACATTGTATGTTTTGAAATCATTATGATGCATTCAAGTCTTACATCCTTTTCCAAGTTCCCTTAAATTAAATATTATCCATTTTGAAAGTTTTCAAATTTCGCATTTTTTTAAAAGGCTACTATAACCTGATTTATTATTTATGACTATTTCTTTATAAGACAGGAATAGCATAAAATTCAAGCATCAAAAAGAATTATTATTCGTCGCTCAAATCTTTCAATGTTACTTTTAAGATCATCATGGAAATTTCCAACCCTGCATTGAAAAAAAATGTACAGTGAAAGGAAAATAAAGGAGGGTTTAAAAGTATGTAGCTGGTTGGCATACACTTAAAGTAATTTACTGAACGGCGCTTGCCGATATCACAGGAAGTTAGGTACGCAATATTACGGCGATAGGTAGACCTCTCTCTTCTTCAACACAATTTTGAGCAATTTAACTTTAAAAAGTTTTGTTTTTTTATCCAGGTATGTTTATATGAACTTTTTATATACAATTTAAGAATAATAATTCGAAAACAAAGTACATGCAACGAGATCAGAAGAATAAAAAATCGTTTTCAGATTACTTGTGGGAATTTTATTGTCTAAAATTACATTAATTTCGCCTAGGTCAGTATTGATTTTTTTACTTTTTGGAGAGAGAGAGAGAGATGAACTACAACTCTGCAGGGAAATGTTGGGAACCAATAATCTTAATCATATGAAAAAGAATGAGATTAAAAATTAATCACATTTGAGGCAAATAAAAAAAAACTAAAAATAATGATCACGATTGTACAAATTTGTCACAGAAATATGAATCATGAAAAATAGCAAATAATCCTTTTAATGTATACTAAGTACTGTGTTTTTCATGTATCTTGTGTCATGAGGTCGAATATTTGTTCATATTTTAAGCGACAAACCGTTTTCTTAGATAAATACTTTTAAGAGACAAAATTAACAAGACACAGTACATGTTCTTTGATATCAAAGCTCTAGAAAAATAAATTATACCAAACTTTTCTCGTTCAGTAAGGATTTCACTCATGAAGTATTGAAAGCAGAAATCTTAAACAGCGGTATATACATGTATGTACAAATGTCCATGAACATTTGAAATAGCCATGTTTCGAGTTATGCAGGAACACCGTTTTTATTCCCTTTTTAGTCACGCTGATCACGTGCTTTTGGGAAAATGTTCAACAGTGTTACTTCCGGTTTACATTCGAGTCTCGGGATGTTAATTTTAGTTACGCCTGATATCGAAATTATGTACGCCTAGAATTTATGTTTGTAATATCTTTACCATGAAGGTATATATATTTTAATGTACGTTTATTAGAAATATCTAGGGTTCTCTGGGAGTTAAAGCCAGTTCTTGCACATGTATCCCGCGATATCAGTATCAATTTTGCAATTGAGGAAATAAAACATAGTAAAAACAATGTTTAACGACTACTTTGTTGTATTTCATTCTATAAGTTGTACATATCTTTCATTCTAGAACGTGTAGTGTCAGCATGAGTTGCCGTCAATTGGGCGGAATTGCAGCACCTGTAAAAAAAGGGGTGGGGTGAAAAAGTGACTTCACATATTATCGATGCGTCCTCATTGAACACGTTCACAAAGTTCTACATATATAAATAAGATTGTTTCAATTATTTAAACATTATTTCAATATGTGTCGAAATGGAAATTAATTCTAAAAAGCCTGATAATTGGGTACATCAGCTCAAAAATCATCATCTCATGATTTGTTCGTATTCCAAAGTCTATGCACAAGATCAAGGCTTTTTGATGATAGAATATTTCTAAAAAGGCTTGTTCGGTTTCTTAAACTGCATCAATATTTAAGCATTGAATGATTATTTTTGAAAGCTATAGTCTCATAACTACAACGGTGTGTGCAAACCGAGAATTTTTTTGCACACACCGTTGCAGTTATGAGACTATATCTTTCAAAAAATAATCATTCAATGTTTGTATTTACATTTTTTAACTCCTTGCCTTTACTGCAAATGTGATTTATATTTCAATATCCCTGTATCTTCGGGTTAGTTAAATTAATGGAAGAGCCATTGCAACAGCTGTTTTGAATGCCGTACCTTCCCACCAGGGATGGGGTCAATTACACAGGAAAGTAATTAATTAAATCACGATTACTTGCCCAAAAACTTCAATTAAATTACCATTTTCATTACAAGGATTTTGAAATGTAATTAATTAAATATCAATTACTTTCCAAATGTAATTAATTAAATTACAAATTACATTTTAAGAAAATGTTTAAATGAATTGCTAAGAACGTTCCTTTATATTCATATCAGAAACCGCGCCAAACTTGTTCTCTCTAGACTTTCTGTGTAATTTCGGGACGCCTCTACATTTTACATAGTCGAATTCGTCACTTCCGTTGCTTTCAGTTCTCAGAGCTAGGCATCGAGGACATTTTGGATTACGGCATGTTTTATAAATCATAAAACATATTTTATCAAATCGGCAGATGATTGAAGGACGTTATTCAATCATTTTTGAAGCTAGATCTCACCCGACATCGGTCGGAAAAGTGTTGATATTGATTAAAATCAAGTGTGAACCGAGGCACCCCCTGAAATCAGAGATGGCATCTGTAATACCTTCACTCGTTTTATATACAGGTATATGATATTTTTTAAACATGCTAATTTTAGCGATTTTTTATTTTTAATTTAACGAGTGTATTCAGACACACCCAGAAAAACACAAATCCACAAAATACACCTTCCTGAAACAAAGTGCTTAATATGCGCCAAACCCCTAACTCCGTCACTTTCGGGAAACTCCGCCCTGTATGTAAACGAATGCGATTGTGACGTCATTTTACATGCTGAAAATCTACAATCAAATGCCGAGAAATTAAAACAACCAAGTTCAAGAATGCGTCAAATATAACTAACAATTACACGTGATCTATTGTATCTATTATATTTTATGTGAAATTAGTGAGTACTTTTTTCCTTTATTTCATCGATACCTCCGACATGTGCGTCAATTTGCTCAATGTCAGTCATATTTATGAAGGTCTTTGCCAAAGGGTTAATATGACATACCATATTGAATACGGCTAAAAATATTTTATTTTTCGTCTAAATTTGCCCTAATGCGCTACACGTTGGAGATAACGTAGAGTGATACGTTATTACTTATAAAACACGTTATATTAGCTTTATTTTTTCTGTTATCGATACTTTTCCTAACATACAATTTGATACTATTTTAAAATCTTCAAAACTAATTTTTCTATGTTTACAAGTTTAAGAGGAAGGGAGAAAAATCTAAACTGGAAAAATTCTAATTAATACGTTGACATATTAGTGGGACCCTGGTGACGGATTTAGGGTTCATTGGACGTAATATACACGGACGTGATACGCATTCAATTTATAGTAGTTTTGTACAATTAAGCCCAATAACTGAATTTTTTTAAATAGTTCTGAAAACAATGTTTAAGTTCATTATTAAGTGTAAGTGTAGCAAACAAGAAACAAATTTAAAAAAAAAATGATTCAGAAAGTATTATAACCTGGCGTGTTTGCCGTTTATGGTGACGGAGTTTTGGTAGTAGGGAATACTGTAAAGCCTTTTTAGTGAAGAACTAAGGTGCTTTTCATCTTTTATTGTTGACAATAACTAGTATATGTAGTAAGAAACTGAAAAATAAACAACACAGTCATAAGTACAATGTTACAAAAAACAAACAAGTAGAACAGCACTATAAATGCAATTCAGACAGACTAGTACATATCACTATGTGTATTTCACTCTATAGATGACTATAAAAATATCTCTTTTTACATACTTGATTACATGTGTATGATATTTTGTTAATAAAACGATATGCTAACTTTACATGTAATGAGACTTAATGTTTTGACTAGATAATTCAAGTTGATAGTAATGATAATGAGTCGTACATGTATTATTCGACTGAGTACATGACATACGCAGACAATGCGAGTCCTGACCTTGACATAAACTACCGTTACTAAATTTAGACATAAGTACAAAATCATGTTACATAAAATTCTACACATTCTACAAATGCATACATCTTTATGTTGCACAAGGTTCATAATAAATCACAAAGAAATGTAACAAACATGAAAAACTTACTCTATGCGGGACTAAAACAGCCAAATATGCCATAAGGCTTGCAGGTTTGATGAGGGCGCCATGCCGTACACAATACACAAAAGGAAAAGGTGTGTAAAAAACAAACAGATAACGGATTCAATCCGGAGTGAAATAACAAGGGGGACAACTCAAAGTCGTGTAACAATACACTCCCCGTCTGATTTATCACCCTTAAACAACTTTACCCTACATTAACACTGATAGCACAAAAAATACTACTTGTATGTAAAAAAATACACATTAAACAAAATATCAAAACATGGTATACACACACAGAAAGTCAGATGTAAATCAAGTTCGTGTACTAAGTGGTTACACTGTAATCAAAGGAATCACTTCCGTAGCGGGTCTGATGAAGAGGCATGGCTTTCCTTCCTTGAGTATACGTACTTGGATTTTGCGTATCAGACCGTCTGATTCACTTGGAAATACACGGTTTATGATGCCGACTTGCCAGTCATTGCGCGCACTTTCTTTATCATGTAGTAGAACGACATCCCCATCTTTAAGATTGCCCACTGAATCTTGCCATTTCTGACGAGGTTGTAGGGTGGAAAGGAACTCATTTTTCCATCGCTTCCAGAAAGTGTTAGCCATGACCTGGACCATTTTCCATTGACTTCGGTACATGTCCTTGACATCAAGATCCTGGAATTCACTGGGTACTTCATGGGTTTTCTGTGTCAGTAGAATCTGTGGCGATAGAACGAATGGTGCTTCAACATCAGTAGATACAGGTACCAGTGGCCTCGAATTCATAATAGCCATGACCTCTGCCATAAAGGTTGTCAAAACCTCATGGGTCAGCTTCCCATGTTTGGTATCCATAAGCATTGCCTCAAGGATGCGACGGGCAATGCCAATCATCCTTTCCCATGTGCCTCCAAAATGTGAGGCGTGGGGAGGATTAAACCTCCATACAATACGCTTGTCTGCAAGAAATGTCTTCAGGCTGTGGTCTTCCACATTCACTACATTCATCTGCAGCTCCGCAGCAGCCCCAACAAAATTTGTCCCTCTATCTGATCTGAATTCAGAGACTGTACCACGAACTGCCACAAACCTTCTCATGGCGTTGATGAAAGAAGAAGAGGTCATTTCCTCAATGACCTCGATGTGGACTGCTCGGCTATACAAACAGGTAAACAACACTGCCCAACGTTTTGAGTGTGCGCTGCCCCCTCTTGTTCGTCTCGTGATGACATTCCAGGGGCCAAATACATCCACCCCAACAAAGGTGAAGGGTGGTGACTTAGTAAGTCGGACTTTGGGTAGATCCGCCATTTTCTGACATAGTGGTTTCCCTCTCATCTTGCGGCAGGTCACACAGTGATGGATGATTGATGACACCAAGCGTTTCCCTCCAGAGATCCATAGGCCTTCACTTCGTATAGCACCTTCCGTCAGATGACGCCCTTGGTGGTAGATTTTCTCATGATGATGACGAACCAATAGCCGGGCAATATGGCTCTTGCCAGGTATCAGGATAGGTGTCTTCTCCCTCACAGGTAAGTCAGACAATTTGATTCGTCCACCAACTCGCAGCAAGCTGCCATCAAGGTAAGGAGACAGAGTCAGAATGGTACTGTCTTTCGGAAGGGGTCTTCCTGCATGTAGCGCACTTAGTTCTTTCTGATAAAATTGATGTTGAACCTCTTTAATGATCAGCATTTCCGATTCTCGATGAGATGTTTTATCCACTCTCCCTGCTTCCTTCCTGAGCCTTTCCTTGATGAAGGTGATGGCCCGCACAAGGCTCAACCAACTACCAAAGCGACTAAAACGTGACGTTCCTAAAGTTGGTTTGGTTGACATGGTCTTGAGGGTCACTATCTCTGGTCGTACTTCACTGTCCTGCTCTGGGTTCACCAAAGAAAACGACTCATTTTGGAAATGGTTTGTATTTCCTTTGAGGAAGTCTGGTCCCTTTAACCACAAACTATCATATAGCTGTTCTGGCAAAAGTCCACGAGTTCCTTGATCAGCAGGGTTTTCATCAGTTGTTACATAATTCCATTGGCATGGAGAAGAACTCTTGCGTATCCTGGAGACACGGTTGCATACGTAAACATAAAAACGTCGGCGCTCATTCGACAGATACCCCAGCACCACTTTGCTGTCAGAGTAATACATGATGTCCTCTAAGGGTAAGTCCAGTTCCTTTGAAAGCATCTCACCAAGCTCCACAGCTAGAACGGAAGCACAGAGTTCCAATCTTGGAATCGTGTGTCCACTTCGTGGGGCAACTTTACATTTGCCGGACACAAACCCTACAGAAATCTTCTCATCCACAGTCATACCCCTTATGTAAGCACATGCTGCTACTGCTCTTTCAGATGCATCACAAAAGATGTGTAACTTTTTGCCAACACACTTGCTGTATGATACAGACAGTAGGCACCGGGGGATGTGAACACCATCAAGTCTCGTCAATTGTTCTAACCACAGTTTCCATGCACTCATAGTTGCTGTAGGTAAGGGATCATCCCAACTCTCAATCCCAGTAAATGCTTCTCTCATGATCAGTTTACCATTTAAGATTATGGGCGCAATGAATCCAAGTGGATCAAATAATCCATTTACAGTGGACAGCAGTCCTCTCTTGGTCAAGGGCTTCTGCTCTTCTGAGGCTTTGAACATAAAAGTATCTGTAGCTAGGTTCCAACTTAAACCCAAACTGTGGTGTACAGGTAAGTCATCTCGATCTAGATCAAGCTGTTCCATGGATTTTGCAAGATCCGCGGACGGAAATTGTAGCATCACTTCTTCACTGTTTGATGCGATCTTGTGTAGTTTCAAATTTCCAGCTTCCAGGAGTGTTTTCTGAGTTCGCTTTAGAACATCAACTGCTTCACTAACACTGGGAAATGACGCCAACCCGTCATCAACATAAAAGTTTCTGGTAACAAACTGCTTAACATCTTCCTTACAGTCAATTTTTACACAACGTCTAAGTCCATATGTGGCAACCGCCGGAGAAGGTCGGTTGCCAAAAACATGGACGCACATTCTGTACTCCTGTAATTCTTGTTTCGGATCATTATTTCGATGCCAAAAGAAACGAAGAAACTCTCTGTGAGGTTCTGCCACATGGAAACAGAAAAACATCTGCTGAATGTCTGCAATCACAGCAACCGGCTCCTTTCTGAATCTCATGAGCACTCCATCCAGACGATTCATCAGGTCTGGTCCTTGCATTAACACGTCGTTCAGGGAAATGCCTTCGTTTTTGCAAGAAGAGTCAAACACAACTCGTATTTTATCCTTTTTCTTGGGGTGGTACACCCCAAATATAGGCAAGTACCAACATTCTTGTCCAGGTTGAACGGCAGGTGCAACTTCAGCATGTCCAGAGTCAAAAATGCCCTGCATAAAACTAACAAAGTGTTCTCGTTTAGTTGGATTTCGTCGCAGACTCCCTTGTAGCATCAGTGCTCGTTTCAGTGCCACCGATCGATTGTTTGGTAGTTTTTCTCGGGTCTCCCGAAATGGTAATGGTGCTGTCCAATTTCCAGCTGAGTTCTTAGTAAAGGTTTTATCCATCAACTCCAGAAATAGGATGTCCTCAATGGATTGTCCTAAATCGTTGTCGTTATGTTGACGTTTGAAAATGGGGTCATCATTCATACAAGTATTTAGTGATATATTATATTCACAATTGTCAAATACACTAATGCGTCCACTCTGGTTCACAGTAGTTTTCATGACGTTCACGCTTGCAGGTGGATGGAGATTTCCAAGACAGACATTTCCAATGAGGATCCAACCGAGAGCTAGCCTCTGAGCGAAAGGGGTTCCTCGTGGTCCTGTACGTTGATCCTCTATGTGATGGGCCTCTGGCAGATCCCGACCAATCAACAATAGAACTTGGGCCTTTGGATCCAGAGGAGGAATATCTACCCCACTGAGGTGCGAATGAAACTGAACAATTTCTGGTGTTGCTATTTCACTCTTTTCCTCTGGAATTTGCTCACACTCTGTAACCAGCGGAAGCTGTAAAATACAGGAACTGTCTTTTGACTCCACCATAAGTCCAAGGGCCTGTCTTCCACTTCGTTGAAAGGTACCAGCACATGATTTCAGTGAATATGTAGTAACTGAAGACATCGGAATATCCAATGCATCAAACAATTCAGGCCTCGCGAGTGTATGAGTACTCTGGTCATCTATCAAGGCATATACATTGAGGGATTTTTCTGGATGGTTCATTGGGTAGACCTTGACTAATAGAGTCTTAGAACAAGATCTCCCTGTAAAGTTTTTGCCGCACAGTTCTGTACAGAGTGAACTCATATTTGATCCCTCCCCGTCGTAATGTGACCTGGTTGAGATGTCCAATATCTTGTTGGATTTCTCCCCGCCATGATATGACCTCCGTGCAACATCCGACTTGGTAGACATATCACCAATGTGTAGAGAAGTAGGATGATTCTTGTTTCCACAAATGTCACACTTCACAAATGCACTACAACTTGCATAACCATGTCCTGTGGAATCACAACACTTAAAGCAGAAGTTGTAATCCTTCAGCAGTTTCTTTCTTTCATTTAGAGTCAATTTCTGGAAAGTCTTGCACTGATTAAGTTTATGTCTATTCACATGTAAAAAACAGTTGTTTCCTGTGCTGACACTAGTATCTTCTTCTGTCGTTTTCACAGTCGTTTTCTTCACCTGAACATCATTCTTGCGATAGGCGTCACTACGTCGTGAATCAGGGTTGGAGCGATTTACGGTGTCAGCAGCTGATTCACACGTGCCTTGGTAATTAAAGCTTGGATCATTACGGATCCTACTCATTTCTGTCACAAACTGGACCAGGTAGGTAAAGGGTGGATATGTGACTCTGTGTTGTGAATTATAACTTGTTGCACGCGTCGTCTATTTTTCCTGCAAGTTGATTGGAAGCTTTGCAACAATTGGACGCATGCCTGTGGATGAATCCAAGTAGAGAAGAGATCGATTTAAGGCAGGGTCCTCCATTCGCAGCTGCACTTCGCTCAGTAGATCTGCTAATTCAAAAAGCTTTTTGTTGTCTTTCACTGTCAGTTTGGGGAAATTCGACAACCTCGACTTTAATGATGTTTCAAGCAGGACTGGGCTTCCATACCTGTCATCCAGACGACTCCACAGCTTCTCCAAAGCTTTCTGTGGGTTATTGATATTGGCAGTCCGTATGCTAACTGCATGTTTCTTAGACTCGGGTCCTAGATATCGAATCAATAAGTTCAGCTCTTCTCTCGGACTGGCATTAAGTTCTTTTGTAAGTACATCAAAACTATCCTTCCTCGACTGATAAGTCTCTGGACGATCATCAAAGGTGACTAAAGACCAACGCAGCAGGTCTTTCTTATTCATATAGTTAGCAAATTCACTTAGTAATGCAGGTTGAGTAACTTGTGGCTGTACTGGACTACTATGATTGGTTGGTTCGATGGTAGGTGGGCATCCATTTGACCTTGTGGTTGGTGACATAGCTGGTTGTGTGGATGACGCAACTTGGTCCTCATGACTCGGCCTCACTTCTGACATAACTTGGTCCTTAGGCCTTGCACTCGTCAGACTAGACTGTTCAGGCGTAAAAGCTTCATAGACTGTCTGTACATGTTGATTGTCCAGGCTTGTATGGAAAACTGGTACACTATCAGTTGTCTTAACAGTGTCAGTGACAGCACTGCACTCACTATTTATTGGTTGATCACTAAAGTATTTGTTAAGAATGTCAGTGTTGTCTAGGTCATCACTCACAGAATGATCTTCGTCCCACATTCCGAATTCATCTTTCATTCCAAGGTATTCTGCATCAGCTACTGCAGCTTCCTTTTTCACTGAAAGAACGTCCATTTTGGCTTTTAGTATTGCCTCTTCTTGTCTCATCTTTGCTTCTTGTTCAGCGAACTTAAGTTTTACTCTGGCAGCTTCTCTTTTTGCTCGATGCCTGCCTAGAAGTGATGCAGCACTTGATGAGTAACTAGTGCTTCTTGCAGACTTAAAGCTGCTGGACTTCACTTTTGTCTCTTTAAAAACATCTTTACTCTTCACTTTTCTATAAAACTGTTCAACACGTTCAGAATAGGTGGCTTTAAGGAGTGTCAGACTTGCCTGTTCACGAGCACTAGCTTCTGTGTTGTATCGTACCAGAAAGTTCAATAGTTCGGAACTCATCTGATCATATTTACTGTACACATCTGATACACGTTGTGTTAACAAGTTTGTGTCTGTCTCTTTATTTACAGTTTCACTGAGCAAACTTTCTAAATCTTTTCCAACTCTTGTCAGTTTATTCGAAAATTGGTCAACCTGTGTCTGGAAGTATGCAGATCCTTTCTCCGACAGGGACCTTTGCTGTCTCATCTCCATGGTTCTAAGATCTTGCTGGATAGATGGGACTTCCATATCTGAGAATGCATTACCAGTAGTCAATGCAGTATTCGGTTCCTGCTGAGTATCCACTAGATTGAGTGATCCTCCTGTAGCCATATCTGTCTGGAAGTCCTAGATTTCTTACTGTAAAGCCTTTTTAGTGAAGAACTAAGGTGCTTTTCATCTTTTATTGTTGACAATAACTAGTATATGTAGTAAGAAACTGAAAAATAAACAACACAGTCATAAGTACAATGTTACAAAAAACAAACAAGTAGAACAGCACAATAAATGCAATTCAGACAGACTAGTACATATCACTATGTGTATTTCACTCTATAGATGACTATAAAAATATCTCTTTTTACATACTTGATTACATGTGTATGATATTTTGTTAATAAAACGATATGCTAACTTTACATGTAATGAGACTTAATGTTTTGACTAGATAATTCAAGTTGATAGTAATGATAATGAGTCGTACATGTATTATTCGACTGAGTACATGACATACGCAGACAATGCGAGTCCTGACCTTGACATAAACTACCGTTACTAAATTTAGACATAAGTACAAAATCATGTTACATAAAATTCTACGCATTCTACAAATGCATACATCTTTATGTTGCACAAGGTTCATAATAAATCACAAAGAAATGTAACAAACATGAAAAACTTACTCTATGCGGGACTAAAACAGCCAAATATGCCATAAGGCTTGCAGGTTTGATGAGGGCGCCATGCCGTAAACAATACACAAAAGGAAAAGGTGTGTAAAAAACAAACAGATAACGGATTCAATCCGGAGTGAAATAACAAGGGGGACAACTCAAAGTCGTGTAACAATACAAATACACTGAAAATATAATTAATGTTTTAACCGGTTTTTTTTTTTAGCTTAGAACATTTTATTGAGAAAAAAGCATTTAGCAACATACAAAATAGTTGTTCAATGTATTTATAATTGTTTCATTCAATTACTAAGACTAGCTGAGAGTATTAAGCAAACAAAAAAATACTGCCCATATATAGCAATCTTATTTGCATGTTTCACTGCAGTCCAATATTTTTTTATATTACGATAAAACAAAAATCACGGTTGAGAAGTGCACAGCAAGTAACGTCCAAAGCTGCAGGAGTCTGGTATCAGGTTTAAGACACAAAATTGGTTTACTTCAACCTGTTACTGATTGACAGGACTTTAAACAAGCTCTTCTCCCTAAAACATAAAGATGGGTATCAGCCTGAATAATCTTGCTAAAAAGATTGTGTGTTCTATATTAAATTCGGAACAATAATTAATAACTTCATTTTATCAAATTTATAATGATAAAAGATATGGAATCTCTCTTGTATATTTTATTTTTTAGTCCTCGACAATTTACTCAAACGCTAAGTATACATCATTACACATATATAACATTATAAGGATTTAATACAGCAGACATTCATGTTTCAATATATTATCAATACATGTATTGTGAAAATCATAACTTACACAAAACTTTAAAGCCACGCTTTACTGATTCAATGAGGTGTACTTCAGCAACACCCGCATGCAGAGCTTTTTCATAAATTATGGCAGCATTTGAATATTCTTTTCTATACTTCTTCTTGTCAGGGAATAATTACTTTCTTGATCAGGTGAATATTGCATGATAATTTATGCTCATTTTTTATATAAATCATAGTTTGAAACAGTCAATTATGCAATACTTTTCCGTAAAAGACCTAGTATGACTTATCTAAATGATATTTGTAATAGACACGGTCAAGGTTCATCTCCCGTGTAGCGCTTTTTTCGATCCTGGTACAAGTTACTTCATCATTTCTTCATTATCTTTTTTTTTTAATTATTATCCAATATTGTTGGCCCTACTTTCAGTATAACAATGTGATTTCCGTACCTTTGCACAGTCGCACCTGTAGATCTTATGCAATTGACAGCTGGTCGAGTTTTTCTACCAGGATAACAAAAGTGGAGTGTTCAAATAAATTTTCTGGACAATTCCATGTTTGCAAGTTAAAGAAAATTTGCGAGACAGAAACAGAGTTAAAGAATAAAGATCAGTTTTCAATATAAATAAGGTATTGAATGTTACCGGATGTGACGTTGAGGAACATTTTTGATGCAGCTTGAATAAACACGGAATAAAAACGGCGTTCCGACATAACTCGAAACATGGGTATTGAAATTACCGATTATTAATTATTCAAGTATTTGTAAGATTAAGAATTTTTTTAAACAAGAGATTGCTGTCCTGTTTGAAAAAAAAATTACAAGTTAACATGTATTTCCCACCGATGTAAAAAGTAAGTAAAACAAGCTAAATATATACATTTAAAGACGAGTATATGTAGTCACCGTCAGAGAAGGAATAAGCAGATAAAATGCATTTGTAAATTAATATATTTCTTTAAATTGAACAGGGAAAGAGATAAAGTACAATCAGTCAACACATTTATTTAAACTGATTTATGCATTTGTATTTGCATATTTTTTATGAATTATTTTTGCAGAAATCAATTATAATATTGGAAGTTTAAACAATTTTTACATTTTAACTGTCTTGGAAATAAGAATCCTATTTCAAAAAATAAAATAAGACATGTTTCTTAATTGAAACTAGGATACAAACACAAATTTTGACACCAGTGCAGTTTCCCCGAGAGGGAGAACGATAGGGACATTACTTATCAGTAAAAATGTCAGCACTTGTCTAAGTTTTTCAGCAGGGACAGTAAAACGGGTCAGTAATTGTCCAAGTTTATTAGCACCGACTAAGATTGTCAGTACATTTCTAAGTTTATCAGCACCGACAGTAAAAAGGTCAGTAATTGTCTAAGTTTTGCAGTAAGAGAGTACATTGTCAGTAAATGTCTAAGTTTGTCAGTAAAAAAAATGGGAATGTTAGTACGTTTCCGACTTAGTAGTGCATGTAACCATTGTCGCTTGTTTTGGTTGAGTTTTGCACTAAAAAACCTGCCTACATAAAGGGTGGCACTAAGTCCGTATTTCTTTAAGGCCCAATCTGTAACAATCCACAGTTAATCACTTGGAAAGGTAATAGATTTGTGTGTACTTAATGCCTCTTGTTCTCTATGAAAGGCTGGCGGGAGATTATCAGTCAATATAATTCTCCTTGGGATCACGACAAGCTACATGTACAATGTCATCGAGTGTTGCAAGGAGCTGTAATGTAACCTTGATAACACGTGATAAGACTTTAAAATCACCAATGAATGAGCATAGAGCAGTTACTGTCTAGGAAGTCTCATAAGTAGAAGATGTGTAAATGCGGTGTTTGCTTCCACTAATTGTACCGAGTTGTCAGATCCAACCAAGAATCGTTGCTTATGCTGGTTCAAGTATTGTCTTCGATGCCGAGAGATAAGGCTGCTTCTATGAAAAGCCTCAAGGACTTTTTCCC